CTATGGTTTACTGGTTATGATTATGCTGTCTATATGTGTGTATCAATTTTGTAGTTGAAGTTATGAATATTGGCTCTATACTGTCTGTATTTCAAACTTATGCTATGCTGCTGGGTGACATCCCAGACAAACTGGTGTTAGCTCTGCCTAGCCTGCTTGATGGCCCATTAAGGACCATCAGCTATACAATGGAACCATTGAGAGAAGGCAGATACGCCTTGGAACCCAGCAAAATATGCAGGGACTGGCCCATGTGACTCCAGACTCCATTTTGCTGTAATTTTCCACAGTAAGAACAAAGGTGTTCTTACACCTGGAAAAGACTATATAAGGCTGATGCCTCATCTCCATCTGGTCTTCAATCCTGCTTCATACCTCTGGAGGAACTTTGCTACAAGCTGAAGCATTGAACAAAGGACTGAGGACCCATCCCAGCGGGGGATGTATTCCAGAGACTTGATTTGAACCTGCAGTTTATTCTATCGCTGCTGCAAGCCTGAACCAAGAACTTTGCCATTACTGTATGCAATTGATTCCATTTAACCAATTCTAACTCTCATCTCTATCTTTTTCTTTTTATGAATAAACCTTTAGATTTTAGATTCTAAAGGATTGGCAACAGTGTGATCTGTGGGTAAGATCTAATTTGTATATTGACCTGGGTCTCGGGCTTGGTCCTTTGGGATCAGGAGAACCTTTTTCTGTTACTTGGGTATTGGTTTTCATAACCATTTGTCCCCATAACGAGTGGCACTGGTGGTGATACTGGGAAACTGGAGTGTCTAAGGAGATTGCTTGTGAGACTTGCGGTTAGCCAGTGGGGTGAGACCGAAGTCCTCTTAGTCTGGCTGGTTTGGTTTGCCTTAGAGGTGGAACAAACCCCAGCCTTGGGCTGTAACTGCCCTGTTTGAGCAATTTGTCCTGAGTTGGCACTCTCAGTTGGGTTCCGCCAGAACCGCATTGTCACAATTACAACAATCTATAACCCACTAACCCCCCTTTTTCGTTCTATGCCTTCAAAGGTGTTAAGAGGCACTTCACTTTTAATGGTCTCTTACTACACATATTAACTACTTATGCTAAACAATCTGTTCCACCTTGTATTTAGTTATGACACTCCAAGTAACTTTCCCAGACCTGAGGGAGAGCTCTGTGCAGCTAAAAAGCTTGTCTCTTTCACTAACAGAAGTTGATCTAATAAAAGATATTACATCAACCACCTTGTCTCTCCAGATGTCATATGGCAGCTGGTTTCTTATTTGGGGGGGGGGGGAAGTGCCTTGCCCAAGTGGCATTCTTGTGTGGATTGATACATTATTGAAATTTCTGAATGACTGTGACTTGCAGTTTAGAGTTCCTTTCATGATCTCACTGGCATCTGCTGTAGCTCTCTAATGTCTCTGCCATATGTAGCTAGGTAGAATATTTAATTTTTTAAAATTTTCAATATCATTTCTCCCAAGAATACTTGGAAGTGGTCTCTGCCAGGTTTCCTTCCAGACTGAAGGATTCAAGTTGTTCAATTTTTACCAACTGTTTCATTTACACCTGACACCACCTAACTAGTGGGTAACACACAGGAGTCTGAAAGATTTAAGTTTATTCCCTGGTCTCAGGTTTCAAACATAGCTCCAAAGGCCTAAGATCCCCAGCCCACGTCACAGTATTACTAAAGCTTGCAATTTTATCATGAGTCTAATAATATCTGGTGTTTTTTCTTATACAATTGTCAGATTGTATAAGTAGCCCCCGTTGCATTTAAAAAGTCTCTAACTCTCATGGTTTTAGGGAAAAACATGAAGGGGGGGGAAAGATAACAAACAAATGCCTCCCCTACCCAAGTTTATTATGTAAAAATATATATAATTTTTATACCAATCTCATGATTGTGGGACCCTGGGGCTCCAGATACAATGCTAACACCCACTGACCCTCAGACATCGCTTTGCTCTCTGCTCTGGGCACCTAGCGTGCAAAGACTTAGTACCATAGATTGTGGCGACGGAACCGCTACCACACTATTGTAGGTAGCGCATACCACCCAGTATTGCCACTCCCGCAGTTACAGCTCACCTGCCCAGGCAACAGTAACACGTGGAAGAGCAGCGTCTCCTCTTTTATTGGCTGTCGCCCGTCCCTTCCTCCCGTACTTCATTGGCTGGTGCAGCAGCCCCTGGCAAAAGCCATTGGTCTCCGTCTGGTACCTGCAGGGATGGAGAACGCCCTATTTTTCGCTGCCGCCTCCCATTGGTTGGTGTGCCGGAGCGCTGGCCGCTACCATTGGCTGTTCCTGGAGCCGCCTGGCAGGGATTGGCTGGGGGGCGCCCCGCCCCGCGGACGGGGTGTTTGGGTTAGGAAGGTGCTGGAGGAGTCGAGGCGTGAGGTCGCGCTGCCGTCTGACAGTTATTCAGTCTGTTGCGGCAGCCTCGTGCCGTGGCAGCGCGCGCGACCACTTCGGGCTGCCGAAGCCCCAGCGCTGCAGTCGCCAAGCGCCGCTTCAGTAGCGTCCGCGCCCTGCTGCTGCTGCTTGGGCGCCCGAGCGGCAACGAGGGGAGGTGCCGCAGCGACCATGCCGGTGCCCGGGCGGGGGAGGGAGCCAACGGGAGCGGCCGCCCTGCCAGAGCCGAGCAGCGCCCGCCGGGACAGGCGCCTGCCCCCCGCCTGAGCCCGCGCCCGGAGCCCGCACCATGGACGAGCGGCTCCACAAGTGGCTCCTGCCGCCGCTGCTGACGCTGCTCTTCGTGCTCATCATGTACCAGTACGTGTCCCCGTCCTGCCCCGGCGCCGCCTGCCCGCGCCGCCCGCCCGCCACGCACCGCGGGGCCCCGGCCCGGGGCGCCCAGCAGCCGCAGGAGGAGGGGGCGGCGGCGCTGCCGCGGCTGGTGCCCAAGTTCCTGTTCGCGCGGGCCGAGCTGTGCCGCCGGGTGCAGTTCGACATGCGGGGCCGCGACGTGATCGTCTTCCTGCACATCCAGAAAACGGGCGGCACCACCTTCGGGCGGCACCTGGTGCGCAACATCCGCCTGGAGCAGCCCTGCTACTGCCGCGCCGGCCAGAAGAAATGCACCTGCCACCGGCCCGGGGGGGACAAGGACACCTGGCTCTTCTCCCGCTTCTCCACTGGCTGGAGCTGCGGGCTGCACGCCGACTGGACCGAGCTCACCAGCTGTGTGCCCGCCGCCATGGAGCGCAGGGGCTGCCCCGGCAACCGCACCCTCAGGTCAGTGCCTGCCCCGCGGGGAGGGAGGGCTGCTGTGCCCCCCGCTCCGGATGGGATGCCGGCAGCTGTCCGGGAAAGGCGGTGGCGGCACCGGCTGCTGCGCCTTGCAAAGCGCCGGGTCAGACCTGGGTCCTTGGAGGATGGTCCTGGGGAGGGCAGCGCTAGGGGTATGGAGGGTGACAGGCCACCCCCTTCCAGAGTGCTACAGGCAGGCACAGAGGTGAGCTGCCCACCTGCATGGGTCTGTGGCACTCAGCCTGTTGCTGCCGCGGACTCTCACACTACAGAGCTCTGTTGCTGTCTAGGCATTTTTCTGTCCAGCCCAGGCTCTTCCTCTAGCCTAAATTCAGTCCTTTCTTCAACCACTGGCTAGTTCTATTTAATCTGAGCAGAAGGACCCCTTGCAATGTACCTGACTCCTTAGAAATCACCCTTATAAATACCTTTTTAAATACAGGGCCTGATCCGTATTGTTAAAAGCCCTTTTGAAAAACAAAAATTGAGCTCTAAAAGCTAATTTGCATTATTTCATGTATGTTTATTTATTTTTTGCATTTCACTTCTTAGTCAGTTTTATTTGCTTGCTCTCATGAACTAGTAATCTTTGGATTGCACAATAGAATATTTAAATCCAAAGACTCTTGGTGGACATCTTGCTACTGTAGTGCTATAAGATTGCAAATAGGGTCTCTTAAACTTGTAAGTCTTTCAGAGCAGGAACCTTCTCTTCAAACCTGTGGTGAAGTACCTAGTACTGGTGCATAAGCAAATGTTTTGTAAAATTTCACTATTGTCAGAACCTATATTGGGCCCAAATTAATTTTGTTTCCTAGAGTTCTAGCAACAACTTTCCTGTTAGATTTCCCTGCTCTTTGTTAGGGTATTTTTGGTGGGAGGTAGGCCTCTATTTCCCCTGTCTCAATAACATATAACTGTTGGCACTGGCGTCTGAATTTCTGAGACAGTAGGCTTTTCAGCAACTCGGCATTTAAGGGATTTTGATAAATTTGGATCAGTTTATTCAGTTATTCACTTTCTTGTCTACATGGAAGAAAGGTAATGAAACCTAAAAGTTTACCCCCCCCCAAAAAAAATAATGTACAGGCGTATGCTTCATACTTTTAATCAGTGTTAAAGTGCAGACTTTGATAAAGTCATTAGACTTCAGTATTTTAGGGTTGTGTATCAGCAAAAATATAACCCCAGATATGGTTAGCTGTGTGTGCAAATACATTTGTATTTATGATCCCTTATGCTTCATGGCATGTTTTTCTGAGTTTTGTTAATGGTGCTTACAAGCAGGTTGTAAATTTTGAACTTGTCTGAATGTAATGCATTGGAATTAAAGATTTCCAGTCAGTTCAAGTGGTTGGTAGCAGATGCTGCTGCTGCTGTTCTCAGGAGCCAGAGAACATGCAAAAGCCACAGTGGCCAGAGAGTTCTGAGACTAAATCCTGTATTTCACTTCAACCTACCCATCTAATTTCAGCTCCTTTCATGAGACAGTGAATACAGTTTAATTATAAATAAACTCCACTGTCTGGCAACTTTTCAAGAGCTCTTCCCCAGGGCTTTAATTAAAAACTACAAATCAGTTCATATTTGACAAGAAGGTCACAACTCCGGATGCTCTCCTCCAATGCTTATTTTTCCTTATTCACAAAGACTTGCAATATAGTACTTCTGTTGTTAAACCTGGATACATTCATTTACTGATAAACTTCCGATCTCAATGGATTGCTTCACTTCTATATTTATTGTGCATATACGTATATATTCCTTATACAATTTAAAGATGTGAAAGGAAATAAACTTAATTCCCTTTTGTGAAGAGATTACTACACTTAACATCTCTTTGCAGCAATTTGTTTTTCTCGTAGGGCTTGTCTACCCTTGGAAATTTACCAAAATGAGAGAAAGTTACTCCTATTCCAGGATAAGAGTGTCCACTCAGGCTAATACTGAAATAACTATTCTGGAATAATTATTCCACAATAGCTACCCTGGTAAATTTTGAAGTGTAAACAAGCAGTTAAACTTTTTCTCCTGTTTTTCCTTCCTTCTCCAGTTGCACTGTGTGAAAGAATGTAAGCAGTAGAGCTCTCAGCTGAAATCGTATAGTCTGACAGTCCACATGCAGTAAACAAAGTCAGGATCAAAACAATCATTGCACTTTGCCAGACAAGTTTCCATAAAGCCATAATTAATATACGCTTAGATTTATGAAGTCTGTAGCCATCCTATTTTGTATTATCTTCCTGTCAGCTCTTGCAAGAGGAACAAGGTCTCGGCTTGTCAGTACTAAAATGGAAGACCTATAAGGAGCGCTTGCATGCCAGAGGAATTAACTTTTGGTAATCTAATAGGTGACGGCTTTCCTTATAAGTTAGCATTGAGCCAGTATGTTAGAGGCATTGTAAACAATTGCAAAGCAGAAATATTGAGCATATGTGGACATTTAAAGTGTTTGCTACAATTGTTTTCAATAAAAGTTTAATAAAATCTTTAAACTTAACTCTTTAAATTTAATCTTTAAACGCTTGTGATGCCTTGATATGTCTTAAAGGATTTAAGCTTTCATCTATTTAGAAAAATATATTCACCATTAGGGCCTAAATTTCTCCCTGTGAGCTAAATCCAAAAAACTCCTTCATTTAACTGTTTGGGTGTAGAAATGTAATTGTTACAATAATAGCTCCTCATCTTCTGTCGGAGAGTGGGAAAAGTATTAATTCCTCATTGATAAATCCATTGATTCTAAAACTTGAGATTTTAAAGTACAGTACATTTCCCAAAATTGTTCCAAAATATTAATTTATATTTTGTGCAGAAGAAGGAAAAAGTGGTGTGAGGAGGATGAGGCGAGGGTGTCTAATATGGTCCCTGTGTATATACATTTAGTCCCCATCTGAAAACACTTACACATGTGCTTATCTTTATTCATGTGAGTAGTTCCATGGAAGACAAACAACTACCATATATACTCATTCATAAGTCAAATTTTTTTAGTAAAAAAGGGAAGCACCAGAGAAGGGGGTCGGCTTATGAACGGGTACAGAGAGGGAGAGGTGGGACACAGCCCTTCTGCCCAACAGAGAGAGCAACGAGAGGCAGCACAGCCAGAAGGGAAGAGGCCGAGCCAGAGTCTCTCCGCTTCTGGCCATGCTGCTCTTCCCCCTGCCTCTGAAGCAGCTGCAGCTCCTGGGCTGGCAGGCTGCAGCCATGCCGCTCGGCCCCGCCCCCCAGAGCAGGCTGTGGCCACGCTGCTGTAGCACACTGTGGCCACGCCACCTGGCCCAGCCCGCTGGAACATGCTGTGGCCGCGCCGCCCAGTCTCGCCCACTGGAGCAGGGTGCGGCCATGCTGCCCAGCCTGCCGGAGCAGCTCCAGCCAGGTCAGAGACATCCTCCCGTGGGCCTCCCGAGATAAGGTGGGAAGGGATGGGATGGAGAGAGTGTGGGGGGTCCCCGCTGGGGTGGGGTTATGTGGGGGGTGGTCACGGGTTACTCCCCTGACTCCCAGCTTCTTCCCCCCCAAAAAAAAATTCCCCACCAGTTGCTGTCCTGGCCCATCAGGGTAAGCAGCTGGCGGGCTGGGACACTTTGTTTACATAGGTTTACCTCCATGTCTGCGGACGCTCGAGATAAACAAACCATCTCGGCCCGCCAGCGGCTTATCCCGATGGCCCGGGAGCCAGAGTTTGCTGATCCCTGAATTATAGGGTAAGTTTATGAACGAGTTATAAAAAATTTCCATTTTTACTTATCCATCTTGGGAGGGGTCAGCTTATAAACGAACCGTTTTATGATCGAGTATATACAGTAATTTAATCCTCAACATTTGGCTGTTACCTTAGTGGGATTAATTGTGTGAAATGTGAGTAATGGTATGGACATCTGTGTTTCCAGGGCATGGATGTGGTTTATAGGACATTTTGTACAAGTGTGTTTATACAGTTCATACGTTTATAAAGATGTTAAACTGTAAACGTTATATCTTGTATATAAAGGAAGGAGCTAGACTTTGAATAACTTTAGGGACTATCTGAATTGCTTGGTATTAAATTTGCAGCTTCATTAGTATTCAATCACCATTATAATCCTTGTGATATAGATAATTAAGGAGAGGAGATATTATTTATATGGAAATTGTTTGGTAAATGTTTCCTTGTGTTACATCCTCCTTTCATTTGTCATGTTTACAATTATTTACTAGCCAGAGGTTGAGGGTTAAATTAATTGTTTCAGAAGATTGGGAATGCAAGGTAAAATGGAGTGATAGGATTAAAGATTGTAAATAGGAGATTAAAGTGTATTAAATTAGACTATTGATAAAGCAACTTTGAAAGAGAGAGAAGTGTTTGAAGAAAAACCATAGAGGTTGTTCAGTTGACTGCTACTAGTAATTTAATTAAAGCAAATACAGGAATAATTCACAGAATTATAATAATATCTGTTTTTCTTTTTGGGAAATCATTTGGTCCTTCAGTAATGTTATAGCCCTTACTCAAATTATTATCTGATCTAATCAATGGATGTAACTATTCACTGTATTCTGGTAGTATTTGTTGCTTGTATTGTATTACATCCTGTGTCAGGTTAAGAGAGAGAGAAAGCAAATTTAATAGATTAAGGCCAGAAGGGACAATTATGATAATCTAGTCTGATCTCCATGTTATTGTATTTACTTGAAACTCGGTTTGTAAAGTACCTCAATAAAAGTCTGATCCTGTAAAGTGCCAACTGCCCCCTGCTTTCACTCCCACTGAAGGCAGAATCAAGCCCTAACCACCTGTCTAGGGACATACACCAAGAGACTTAAATTACATTTTAATCACTATTTCCAATATTCAGTTTATGTGAATGGAATTTTTACCTAAACTAAAACGGAAGGTAATGGAGGTCATATCTTGGAACAAAGTGGAACATATTAGATATTATACATGACACCTTAAAGCCTCTGGATTTATATTAGGAATTAACTTCTACTTCTGCTTTATA